CTGGCAGCGTCTAAGGGTCCGGCTTGAAGGCATCATTTTAGGAATAGTAGTTTCTTCTCCTGAAGCATTGAAATGGAAACTTAGAGAAGCAAATCTCTTAGGACAATAGGTTTTATTTGTCAGATTTATAATAAATACTTGTAGATATAAAAATCACTCTAAACACAAATAGCCACATTTCTGGGACAAGTATGTATATGGTAAATGCAAATAATATTAAGTCCCAAAGTGACTAACTGAAAACTCTTGGAAAGTCACTTTTTCTAAAGTGCATATACTGGGATGTCAAAAAAATGTATACATAGGACTTGTATTCACCTTTTGCTATCGGTATATATTGAGTAGTACAATTTTAATACAGTTTTTTTTCCTTTCTTAAAATGTGTATACATTTTTTTGGCACTGTCTGTCTGCTGAAATGCTTTGCCAGAGGCCTCCTGCCAGAATCCAGCTGAGTAAATCGTCTGCAGCCTGCAGGAGGGGGGCACCGGAGGGCAGACATGTGTCCTGTGAAACACACATAGTTGCCCCCCCCCCGCCCCTGTCGCCTGTAGTAGAAACCGATCCCATGACGGGGCCGCAGCCATGTGCTCCGGCCCGCCAGCATAGCTCCGGGCAGGTCTCTGAGCTCAGAATCGCATCTTTCAGTAAAGGGTTTTGAGGTCTCACTTCATGGTGTGGCTTATTTATACTTACAAAGTGGAGATGGGCAGGGGCTGTGTCAGTAAGGAAGATAAATGGTGTTTTGATGACAGGACTTGTCTTCCTAGAGCTGGACGTGACAGCCTAATTAGTCGGTGCTGACAATATATAACCATACTCGTATTTTTCAGCGTGCACCAAAGTCCTCAAACCATGCCCGAGTGACAGTCTTTTCTGGCCGCCACAGTGACTCGAGGTGAGAGCTGCCTCGCACACTGCAGCCGGCTTGCCGCTTCCCCACGCGGGGCCTTGCGGCTTTGTTCGTCGTGTGGATAAACTTAGGACAATGGTCAGCCTTATGGAGGGTTTCCTGTGTGCGAGGCATTGAGCTGCCTGTTTCATAATACCCCATTGAATCTTACCTGCAGGGTGAACGTTTTTGTGTCCGTTTTATTGTGAGGAGCCGAGGTATGGAGCTCAGTCAGGCTCCCCAGGCCGTAAAGCTAGGAGGTGGTGAAGCCAGGCTGGCACTGGCCTCGCCACGTAGAGCGCTCTTTCCCGGCCACCAGTCCCCCTGTGTTCTGGGTGGTTTTAGGTGGTGTTTTCTGTAATTATATAGTTTCATTATTTTTTGCTCTTCCGTTTCCAAAAATGAAGCATATTTCATATGACTGATTCCTGAGTGGTGAGTGTGGTAGTAGATTCTCAGATTTTACTGTACATGTTAAGTCCATAAAACGGGTTTGTAATGGTTGTGTTCTCCCGGAAAGTTGCTGATGTAGCTGGATAAGCGGTGTATAAATCAGTCTGTCGTCAGAGGGTGTGCTTTTCTAAGCACATAATCACTGCCTGACCTGTTCACCCCCACCTTGCCACAGCCATTTAAATGAAAGTTTGAAAAATGCCAGAATTTTGATGTTTTGCAGCAACGAGTTTGCGGCAATAAGTCTCTCCTGACTATCAGAACCTGAGCCCAGATGTATCTTATTTTAAATTCTTGACCTCTTAAAAATAAAGTTATAAACTTAAGGATTAGCGTTCCCAGTCCTGCTTGGCTCTGTGGTGCAGGCCCATGAAGGCGCGGACAAGGCGACCTGGAATGGTGGGGGCCTGACCACACAGCCGCAGAGTCCCCTCCGCCTGTAACTCACGGGCCTGTAAGACGTTTATGTGTGCTCGTCTCCCATCCTAAGTTCTGGACCCTAAACAGCTTTACAGCAGAGTCCACATGTGCTAAAGACATAAAAATTCTTAGTAATCATTATGAATGGGTTTAAATAGAATTTTCAATTTCTCAGCTAAGTCAAAGAGATTTACTCATCGGCGTATAATAAAGTCAACGTGTTTTCTTGGGAAGTAATTTATTGTATCAGATTCGTTTTCATCATTTAGCATTTTAAAGGCATTTATATCACCATTGTCTTTCTCCTTTCCTTAAACTTATTTTGAAGTAACTGTAGGTTCACATGCAGTTGTGAGAAGTAACGGAGATATCCCGGGCGCCCTTTCCTGAGTTTTCCCCACTGATGACAATCTTGCACAACTGTATTGTGATGTCACACCCAGGATGCTGACTGACCCTGATACAGTCAAGATTCAGAGCCTTTCTGTCACCGCGAGCACCCCTGTCCTTTCCTAACCAAACCCACCCGCTGCCTGCCACCTACCTCCTTCTTAACCCCTGGCAACCATGAGCTGTTCTCCGATTTTCTAATTTTGTCATTTCAAGACTGTTCTATAAATGGCATCTTTTGAGATGGGCTTCTTTCACTCATTATAATTCTCTGACATCCATCCAGGCGGCTGTGGGAATCAGTAGTCCATCACTTTTCATGGCCGAGTAGTGGTCCATGGTATGGATGTAGCAGTTTATTTAACTCTTTACCTGTTGAGGGTCACGGGCTGTTTCCAGGTTTGGAGTACTGTAAATAAAGCCCCTGTACACATCCGTGGACAGGTTTATGTGTGAACATGAGTCTTCATTTCTCTAGGACAGGGGTGTCAAACTCAATTAAAACACGGACCATTTGGTGCAACAGGCAAGATTCATTCGGGCCACATCACATTTACAAATTTTGTTAAATTTATATTCTGAAGTGAGGATTCAGGAATATGGATAGGATAATTAAAACACTATATAATTGCTTTTATTTAAACTTTTATTTTATTTAATGTATTTATAAAACTAAAATTATTTTTTACCCGAGTGCTCTTTTTAACCTTTTCGCTATTGGGATCTGTTTACATTATGTGGCACTGAAAGTGGCAGACATATCGCTTCCAAACGTTGCAGGAACTGAGTCAGCGCGTTTATACATGCCCACAGGCCCCCAGGAAAGGCACCGGGCCACGTGTATACTCGTCTTCAGTAGTTAAAGGGTTAACGAGGGAATTGTGTGTACGGTATTGCCTCCATCTCCTCTAAGCGCTGTTTTCTTCATAACAATTTTTTCTATTTTCATTTTATTTCAGAGCATCGCGGGCCACAAAAAATTACCTCGAGGGCCGCATGTGGCCCGCGGGCCGCCAGTTTGACATCCCTGCTCTAGGAGCACAACTGCTGGGCCTTGTGCTAGTGGCATGTTTGTTAGTTTTTAAAGAAACCACCACACTGTTTTCCCGAGCGGCTGCACCATTTTACATCCCCTTTGCCGTGTGCGAGGGTCCGGCTTCTCCGTGTCCTCACCAGCATTCGGCGTAGTCACCGTATTTATTTTAGCCGTTCTGATAGGTGGGGGTGATGGCATCTCAGTGTGGGTTTAGTTCACACTTTCTGAGAAGGTAATGATCTTGAACATCTTTTCACGTGCTTGGCTGCTATCTGTGTGTCTTCTGCTGAAATGCTTGTTCACGACTTTTGCCCATTTTCTGAATGAATTGTTTGGGGTTTTTTTGCTGTTGGGTTTGGAGATACTGGTTCTTTGTCAGATCTATGGTTTGAAAATATATTTGCTCACTCTCTGACTCATCTTTCATCCTCTCAACAGGGTTTCTTGCACAATGAAAGTTTTTCATTTTCATAGAATTTACTTTATCAGTTTTTCCTGTAATGGATTGTGCTTTTGGTATCAAGTCTGAGAACTCTTTACCTGGCCCAACATCTCAAAGATTTTCTCCTAGCTTTTTTCCAAAAGGCTCATAGGTTTACGTTGTATATTAAGTCCACAATCCATTTTGAGCTAACTTTTGTGTAAGGTATGAAGTCACTTTCCCCCTGTGGATGTCCAGTCGCGAAGGTGCCATACGCTGCAAGACTCCATCCCTCCACTGAATCGCTTTTGCACCTTTGTCAAGCTTAGGTTGGGCATATTGGCGGGGATGTATTTCCGGATTCTCTGTTCTGATCCACTGGACTCTGTCTGTCCTGCCAGCACATGTGGTCTTGGTTCCTGGAGCTGCATCGTAAGTCCTGAAGACGGGTAGACTGGCTGCTCCCTCTTTATTCTTCTTTTTCTAAAGGTTTTAGCTCTTGCGGGTCCGCTACTTCTCCATATAAATTCTAAGATAACCTTGTCTATATCTACAAAAAGTTTGAGATTTTGATAGGAATTGTGTGAAACTAGCAGTCAGTTTCGGGAGAATTGATACTTTTGCCTCGTCGGGTCTTGTCATTGATGAACATGGTGCGTCTCTCCATTTATTTAGGTCTTGAAGTTCTTTCATCTGCATTGTGTAGCTTTCAGTATACAAGTTCTGTACATGTTTTGGCAGATTTACACCTAGTATTTCCCTTTTTTGAACAAATGGAAATACAGTCGAGTTTTGTATGTTTATCTTGCTGCAGCCTTGCTGAACTCACTATTCTATGAGTTTTACCTTTTATTTTCACTGAACATTTCCAACACGCCAGGTGTTGTGTTCAGGCTTTCCACGTGTTTGCCAGAAGTCAGCAGGTGGTAGGGCTAGGGTCTCGGCAGGTAAACTATTTATCCATTTCATTTGCTCACTTGACAAATATTTAAGGAGCGCCTGTATGGACCACAGCGGATCCAGACATAGGTCCCTACCCTCCTAGAGCCTGCAGTCTGAAACCAGCATTAGAAGTAACACAGTGATTACATAACGTAGTAACACAAGTTCAAAAGTAAAACGTATGTCATTAATTATAACTTAATGCATTTGCCTCATACTTTGAGTGGGTAACATCGGCAGGCCACAGCCAGGCTGGGGCATGGCAGTGTCGGGGAGGGCTTCCTGAGCAAACAATGGTCATTTTCCTAGGAAAGGTGTCCCAAGCCAAACTGCTTATTCATTCTTGTCAACCTGCATCAATTGTTGACATTCAGAAATGTCTGTGATAAAAGCTCATATAAAGAGAATCCTGAAGTTGCTTGTCAACAAACTCTAGGCCAAAGCCGAATGATTTCCCTGGTCGCCTGTGGGTCCTCACCCCCTTCAGCTACTGCTGTAAACCCACCCTGCTCCACACCAGCGATGCCCACTGAGGGCGCCAGGCCTCGGAGTCGGCTAGACCAGCGGCTTAGTTTGGACCGCATCCTGACCTCTGTGGGTCCTGCGTGGTGCCGTTGGCCACGCCCTCACCTTTCTCGTCCACGTCACCAGTGTTCTCTCTTGCAGGTTCCTTTCCTTCTCTCACCTGGCAAGCCAGGTTCCTGAGTCATCTGAGGTGGAAAGGTGGTGCGCTCAAGTAGTGAGATGCAGACTCAGGTCCCCGTTCAGCAGTGCGTTTGGGAAAATCATTAGTGTCCCTAAGCTGTGTAACCATAGCTGCTATAAGTTTCCGGTCACTTGGGAAGTAAGCCTTAGCATATTGAAATTTGCCCCTCAGATGAATTTCTTCCTGATAAAGTCTTGCAGGTAAAGACCCCTGGACCCTCTGAGAAGGGAAGGAACGGACCCTCACCTGCACTGCTTACTGCTCACACGGTGCTTGGCACGGCCCGGCTGCTGCTGGCTCGAGCCTCAGGTTCGCAGAAGCAAAGCAGTGTCACATGGCTGGCGAGTCTCGAGCCAGCACTGTCCCCACTCTCCTGCTGTCCTGCCTTAGGACTGAGAATGCCCCTCTCTCTCTCCATACTTCCCACTCCCTGTAGGAAAAATTGCCTGTCTTTGAGTCTGCGTGGAAGAAGGAGAAGGACATCGTCTCCAAGGAGATCGAGAAGCTCCGCGTGTCCATCCAGACGCTGTGCAAGAGCGCGCTCCCCCTGGGCAAGACCATGGACTACCTGCAGGAGGACGTGGACGCCATGCAGCATGAGCTGCAGCTGTGGCACAGCGAGAACAAGCAGCACGCAGAGGCCCTGCAGGAGGAGCAGAGGTCAGCTGGGAGCGGGCCACAAGGGGCAGGGCCAGGCCTGCGCCGCCACTCAGCGGGGGTGAGGCCACAGGTTTGCCCCTCCACTCAGCCTCCCTCGAAGGAAACCTGCTGCTGCTTCATTCCAATCCTCATGTGCATTTCTTTGTAGCAGTTGGAGAAGATTTAGAGTTCATGTTCACACACAAAACAGATTCAGACATTAAAAAATACAGGGAACTTTGCAATTTGGCTACCATGTTTTTCATGTGTTTTATCAAAATCCCCAAAGCTTTATAACTGTTTATAGTTTGAAAGTATTTTAGTTTTTTACTCTAAAAGAAATGCTGATGAACCCACTTTGAAATTGCTCTCATGCAAGAAATATAATAGTCACTAAAAAAGAGATTTATTTTAGTGAAATGTTTGACATTCTATATTTATAATCATTGAGTCTAGGGTGCATATAATTTTATATAAACTCTTAAGTGTTTTTTAGAAAACACTTAATCTGACTCAGTGATATACTCAAGCCCATATAATAAAAAGCTACATTATAACAAAGTCCTACTCTTTTATTATTAGTCTGCTTATTCTTAAAAAGCCCCTTAAATTTTAAAATCTAAGCATGAAAGAAGTGAGACAATCACTGAGAACTTTTTGGTGCCTATTCTAGAGTGATCCATGGTTGCCCCTCCCCCCCCATCCAACAGTAGCGTGTTCCTCTGAAACCTTTCATAAGGCGAAATGGCGTAGAGCAAAGACGCAGTTATTAGTTTATTTGGAAAGATTTTGAGTATTCCCAAGTAATCATTCCAAGTAACACATATAACCTCAAATACCCCATCATGTGGTAAAAGCAGGAGTGATATGATAAATACACACCACACTTTGCACACCCACCAATCAGTCCACTCAAGCAATAGACGGTCCATTTTATCCGTTATTGGGGTTCCGACTAAGAGAGACTCTTTTGCTACTTGCAGAACCTATAGTAACTTCAGCAGCTTTCAGGATTCTTTCTCTGTGTGTAAATGGTACGAATGGTGGCAGGTTCAATGCACACAGGTGTTTATATCGTTCACCATGATCAGAACACTAAATTCCATCTAGTTTCATGCGAAACGTAACACCCTTGTGAGCTCCCTTTGGCTTTTCTGGCGCCTTAGGACACACTTGCTCACGGATGTACCGAGCAAACGGGTAAAGCGCAGGTGCTCACAGACGCGGTCAGAGCCCTGGCCAGGCGCTGAGCTGCCGAGTTTGGCTCCTGGTGGAGCTGGCGGGACCTCACACTGGCTGCTGCCAAACTAGCGCTGACCGCTATTTTCACCTTTTGCATTTCTTGTAAAAGCAAGAATCCTTTGGATTTCTTCTGGTTAGCAAAAACCGGTACTAACAGAAGTCTTTTGTGACAGTGAAATGGCGTGATGTGGACTTTCTGTTGTAAAAGCAGGGATGCCCATCAATGGTTAGCGCTTACATTTTGATTTAAGGTCTTAAAAAGGGTCATTCCAGACATTTCTTCTCTAAAAACTCAATTTTGCTCTACGGTAGGGTGGTTGGAAGCCATTACTTTTTTTTGTTTTGTTTTGTGTTTATGTGCTTAAAAAGCCTAAAGGGATGGGCCGACTGAGTGGCTTGTTGGTGAGGAGTTCGCTTGGGATGCCAGCTCTGAGCAGCAGGGCCCCGGTTCAGATCCCACATGAGGGCCAGTGACACTGCGCCCCCTACAGCTAAGATGGTGAACAACAGCTCGACCTGGAGCTGGGCTGCCATCAGTCGCTGGCAATGGTGTAGGCTGCAGTGGGGCTGGCCGGCAGCTGGCATGAGCTTTCGTGAGCTGCCGTGAGCCACTGTGAGCAGCCGTCCAATGGCCGGTGAGCGATCTGCCTCATCCGGGGGGAGCACAATGATAATACCAACATGGGCCAGTGAAGCGACGTCCTCCACAACTAGACTGAAGAACAAAAGGACAGCAACTTGTCTGTTCCCCTTCTCCGATTCCCCAACACTGTTCTCCTTCCCCCAATTCCCCAATAAAATCTTTGAAAAAAACCCTAAAGGGACAGGTTAATTTTGACCTGGCTTTCCCAAGTATTTCTAATGTCACTCCAGTACTGAACTTGTAGTGAAAGGCCTCCTGTCACATCTTGAACAAGTGAGTTGGGGGGCTGCGTCTGGGAAGCCCTTGAAGCTGGGTGAGCCTCCCCCGGAGGTTGGGGTTCCAGCAAGGAAGGTTGGGGGCGTGTTGGGCTGTCCAGGTGTTGATGGGCCTCGCTGCCCACCTCCCTGCCGTCCTGCGGGCTCTCTGTGACATCTGTAACTTAAGGACTTGAAGAAATATCAGCCTCCTCTGTGAAAATTTTACGTTCAACTTCACTTTTGGTGGTTGTGGGCTTGTGAAAATAAGACCTAGATTTCTCTCAGGTGTGAGGTTTTTCACTTTATATAATTATCGTAGTACGTTTCTGTTTTTATCCTTTTTCTTTGGATGGGATCAGTAGTTTACTTTTGTCATCTTTCAGTGTATAACTAAGCAGCAAATCTAAAATGAGCCAGGACACTTATGAGTCACTGCTTCTGTTTCCTCAGCATCACAGACAGCGCCGTGGAGCCGTTAAGGGCCCAGCTCGCGGAGCTGGAGCAGCTGATTAAAGATCAGCAGGACAAGATCTGTGCCGTGAAGGCCAACATCCTGCGGAATGAGGAGAAAATTCAAAAAATGGTGTACAGCATCAATTTGAGTTCGAGAAGGTGAAAGCTCCGAAGTCTCACAGACTAGCAGTTGTCCTCAGCTGGAAATGGAAGATAGGACATCATTCCTTCTGAACTGTCAGCTTGCTAAGAAAATGAATGGTTTCCAAGGTTATGCAACTACTTTTCAGAGCTTTAAAACTGCAGGCATATTCAGTGCATGGAAAAGACCATGTGCTCCTGCCTTCCTCCAGCTAGAACCCCTGATAGTTATAAATAGCTCTTCGAAACACGTGTGTGAGGAGTTTCTTTGCGAGCCTGTCCTGTGTGTTTCTGCAGGGGCCTATTGTGTTCAGTTCTGTACTGGAATTCTTAGGCAGTGAGTGGCCTTGGCACACCAAGGCAAACAGTGGCCGTTGACATCAGGATTTAGGTCTAGAGACAAGACTTCCTAAGTCAGGCGCTGAATGAAGGACGGTAACACTTTCTGATTGGCACTTTAGGAATAGAATGAGGCCTGAGGATGAATGAATTATACTTGTAGTTAATTTCCACTTGAAAAGGGTTCATTTCAGCCTATGCCTTTATTAAGGGGTGTGTGAACTTGTTTTTTTAGCCTCTTTATAATTGCATATGCTTCTTCATGTAATTTTCCCATTGGTCCCTATTATCTTTTGCTTGTGTTTCTAGCCCTTAAAGTTCATACATTTAAAAAGGAGGTTCCAGTGTAGCCTTCATGACCCTGCCTGGACGTGAGGTTGTCCCAGGCTGTCCTCTCTTTCTTTAGCATTTGCCGCTGTGTTCCCTACGGGGTACTGGTGTGGCTTGGCAGGGGCCCCTGTTCTCTTTAAGAAGAGGGCTTGCTCCCCAAGGCACTGACACCATGTCCTTTCCTTCGCACAGGTTTGTGCACCTGTGCACCTGCGAGACAGGTAGCTTAGGGAAAACTGTAAAAGGAAGACTTAAAAAGATGCACTGATTTATAAAAATTTTTTGATGGGACCATTTTTTGGGGGGAAATTATTTTTTAAAGCAAAAGTTTGTTGTTTTTTTTAATGGTTTATATTTGGTTTTTCACATACATATAATTCTGTAAATACTTAAGTCTTCAAGTTTGGGTGCAAAGAATTGCACTATTTGGAGACGTGTTTACTGGTCTTAGGCCTGGGTCCTGACATTTTGTATTTATTATGTAAGCCAAGAGTGCCCGAGGAAGTTTTGTTTCTTTAAGGATCAGCACAAATGGCACAGTTTAGTTTTCCTTCGTGTGATTTCCAAAATAAATCTTTTACTAAGGTAGTTATATGATTTTCTAAGCTGAATAAGTTCAAAATCAGATTATTAAGAGCTACCATTTGGAAACATTGGTCGTCTTCTCCTTTCCAGAGCACACTGTAAAATTCTATTTGATCAGATTATACTAAATACTTACTGGGGGAGGAGAGGCATATTAGTTACTAGCCCTTCATATACTTACAATTTTTTTTCCCACTGAATTCAAATGACTTAGCCACAGCCCTCAATGGACTCTGTTTTGCTTCAAGTTAAGATGTCTGCCTTTTATGAATTTATATATATGACTAGAATTTTTATGTTGCAAAAAATTACATGCATTGTATGTGGGTAAAATTTTGTATGAAGTAAGTATCAAATTGTATCATAAAACTTATTTTTTCTTTTATACATAAATCATTAAAGATAATCACATATTTTTTCTATAAGTGTATCGGTTGTGCAATTCAGTTGACACCTGGAAAAAATTTATAAGCATTTGGGTTTTTTGTATTTTCAAATGTGTGTATTTTGTTTTTCTTTGAAGAAAGTTGAGGGAAATTTATTTCTTCATATTGCGACGCTTATCTCGTCTGTATAAATTGAAAGTTTATAAGTCAGATAAGCATTTATCAGAAATTTCAAGATCATTCGTGAAGTTTTGGAAAGTCTGCATGTGATTATTACTGTATCTTATCACAGACAAATTAAATCCTGATGTTATTATTTTGATAAAATACACAAATGGAATTATTAAATGTTTTTTCTACTTTGGTTTATAAGTTTTCAGGAAGTACTAGAGTCATACTTCAGAAATTTTAATTTAAAGGTTGAGCTGACACTAATTTATAAACAAAGGAAATTCAGAAACCTTTGGAAAAAATAATTCAAGGCTAACATTCAAGCTTTCTTCTTTGCTATTCATACTTATTTTTCTTTTCAATGAGCAGTTCAGAACAGCAGTAACGATGGAAATCTGTGAAGGGAGATGATGTCACTTAGTGACACAACGTGCAGTTTGGGGCTCTGCGTGGTCTGGACTCCCGTCAGTGTACTGACAGGCGCCCCTGAAACGTGCCTGCACTTTTCAGAGTCCTGCATTGACTGCGAGTTGTCTTCTGTTGGCGTGCGCAGTGTCACGGCACACGAGCGGAGGAACAGATGGCCTGGACCTCCCCCGGCTCTCGGACACGAGCGTGACGGCAGCTGCCACAGACTTAGGAGGCCAGTTTGCTTGAGCTTCCACGAGGATCGGCCAGGAAAGGAGGCCTCCTGTACAGAGCACGTGCTCACAGGTGTCCGCCATCAAGGAAGACAAGCCCACACAGGCCATGCTCGGCTCCCAGCTCTGGAATCTTCCGCCCCCCCCCTCCCGCAGAGATGCAGAGAGCCCCCCACGGCCCCCTCTGAGCGGCTCTGGCAACGTGTGATGTAGGAAAGCGAGAGCGAGGGGGTAGAAGGCCCAGGAGCCTCGGGTCCCGCAGGTGGGCAGAGTTTCGCCCTGTCCTCCGGTGCACTTCATTCATTAAATGGCGTTTTGGTGAGGAGAGTTTCTACAAGCTCTGCAGTAGGGCAGAAGTGAAGTCCCAGGGAGACTCCCCTTTTGCTTGTTTTGTGTGTTTTCATAAAGGGAGCTTGGGAAGGACTTTTTTTAATTCAGCAAGAGAAAATTTTAAATGGCTTTTTAAACCGTGAAAGTTTTCAAGCCCATAATTAGAGCTGAGTTGCAAATTGATCATCAGCTTCTTGAACCAAGGAAATTGGTCTTTCTGGTGAGAAAATGGCGCTCAGAAGAAAGTGCCCATATCACAGGGAGGCCCAGGGCTTTGCATCTGAGTGGGATCAAAATGCACACTCCTCCTCCGAGGTTCTCGGCTGCCAGCCAGTCAGGTCAGCTTAGGGGACATTGGGCCTACACACCCAGGCAAGCCCGGGTTACCAGTTAAATTCACATCATTTTGTTGTTCACTGCACTCTTAAGATTCCCCAATCTATTGTCAGAGCAGCTTTCTCATGTTGCCATCAACGATGAAACACATCTCAAAACACTTAAGTTTGCCATTTAAAGTCCTCGTCAAAGCTGTGTTTGCTGGGTGATACCAGCTAGTGTGTGGGGCTCATTTCTTGGAAGGTGGGTGTGGGAGCTGGTTGTCCCCCACCCCCACCCCATCCCCCAGGGGTGCTGTGACTCCCTCTTGCAGGGTGGGCACCATCCGGATCGGCTCAGGGTGGCTGCAGCATGCTTTTCCTCAAGGTTTCCCTCTCCCCCCTCTGGCAGGTCCCGATTTGGACAATAAATGGCCTGGTCCCTCTCCCTATTGGAAACCTGCCGTGAGTGGTGGTGTGTGGCCGACGGGACAAGGCCCCTCTGAGAAGATGTGCCCACTGGGGCCAGTGTGGGCACCACCGTCACTGCAGCCCCGTCACACCGCAGCCAGGTCGGGGTGTGCAGATGCATCTGAACCTCACAGATGGACCGCGTCTCTGCTTCCCCATGGGCAGACGTGGGCCTGGGGGGGGTCATGCCTGGTAGACCTGAGCGAAAAGGCGCCTGTCCGTGCACAGGTGTCGCGCTGCAGGGAGCTCCAGGCCTCTTCCCGTGGACATCTTCACCACAGATTGGATGAAGCTGCAGGAAGTGAGTCTCCGTCATCCTCAGCTGGTGTGAGTAAGACGCGGCCAAACAAATACTGAAGAGCTGACTCAGGACGTGGAAGCCTGCAACTCACCGGCCCTGACTCAGAGAGAGCAGGGAGAAACTGGAGGGCACCGCCGTCAGGACACGGCCCCATGTGGCACTGGTGGGAGCACACGGAACCGTGCGGGTGTCGTGTGATGAAGCCGACACTGCAGCCCGAGGACGTGCTGTGGACCGGAGGCCTCACAGGTGCGTGAGGGCGGGTGGTGGGCTGCGTCACGCCTCCGCCAGAGCCTGGGTGACACCCTGGACAGGACTGTGAAGTGTTTGTGTTTGTTTGTTTGTTTGTTTAAGAAAATGACCCTTACTGTTATGTGTCCATGCCCTTCATCATCCCAGATTTTCATGTGGCATAACTAATTTTTTAAATATGACATCTGTCTTCATTACTTTTTATTTAAAGTGATGTCTATTGAATAGGTAACATATTCACATGGATAGGTGATCAGAGTGACAGGAGAGGTCTGCCCAAGCGGCCTCCCTCCCGCCCGAGCCTGTCCGCCTGGTGGCCCTCTGGGCAGCCGCTGTTACTGGATCCTCCTTGGTCCCTCTTTCTGGGAAGACAGCAGATGTGAGTCCATGTTTCCCCGCCCCACAACGCACAGCATCTCTGTGTACAGTGTGCTGTGTGCTCTGCCCTGCACCTTGCTTTTTAAACCTTTTCCACTGTCGGGGAGACCTCACATGTCCATCCCGGAGGTGGCCTTCCTTCGGCGGAAGCCCCACGAACGTCCCCAACGATGTGCAGGCTGCCCGGGCCCAGCTCCCGATGGCTGGACTGGGGTGGTCTGCCGTCTCCTCCCTCTGAAAATGGCCACCCTTGTGGAGTTTGCACGCTGGTGGGCGAGAAAGAGGACTCGGGCTGTAACTTGCACTTCTCTCGTTTTCGGTAAGTGGCAGCGCCCCTGTGCTTGCAGCTGTTTTTCTTTTCTGGGGACCTGACGGTTCAGATCATTGCCCTTTATTCTGTTGGACTCGGTCTTTTTCTTCTGGATTTGTTTCTGGAAGCTCTTTTGTGTTTCAGTTGCAAATGTTATTTTCCAGTTTGCCTTCTGCCATTGCATATGACTCCCCCCCTCCCACCCCTGCAAAGTGACGCTAAACAAATAATAATGGCTCTCACCCTCCTTCTGTAACCGACCGATGGACGGTGCCTCCAGCATGCTGCGGTAAGATAACTTTGTCGTGTTAGAAGCATTCTTCTCTCCCAGCTTACAGGGAGAGTTCAGCGGGAATGAATGTTGAATCAGTCTTGTCGGTTATGGAGATCACGTCTTTTCTCCTTGGCCTGGCAGGTGACATGATCGAAGACCTATTATTAAAGCATTCTTACAGTTGTAGATTAAATCCAACTCGATCGGGTCGATTGTTCTTTTCACTCACTGGTTGGTTCTGTTATGAGTGCCTCACTCCGCTGCGTGTCGCCTGGCGGTGGGGGTGGGGCACCCTCTGTTACTTGGTTAAGCCCAGCCTTCTGTGGGCACCTGTCCCCGGCATTGCCGCCTCCCCTCCCTTGGCTGCGGCTCTGGGCCCAGCACCTCCCCGCAGTGCCCTGAGGCTGACAGTGCTTGTGGCTGCCCCGCCACCCCACCCCAGGGTGGCTTTTGTCCCCTGGGGACTTAGGGGAGAAGGTTCCAGAAGGAGCTGTGCTCCCTCTCCCAGGTCCCCACCACAAGGACGCTTCTGTTGAAATGTTCCATGGAGGCACAGTTAAGTCCAGAAATGGTTTTCCTCCTGTGTTTAGGTAGCTCGCTACTAGCATTTTCCGGTTAAAGGAACACCCCACCTGGGCTGAGTCCTGACAGTGAAACCGTGTGCGGGCCTTGGGCCTGAGGAGAGTCAGGACTGCGACATGAAGACACAGGTTCGCCTCAGCCTGCTGGCCACTAGTGGGGACTCGAGCCTCTGGGTGGTGGCACTCAGAGACCCCCTCCAGGGGTTTGTGGTTTCAGAGCCAGGCATGGGGCCCCACAGGGCTCATGGCCCCGACTGCTCTGGGAAGTGTTGGTTTTGTTTTCATAAGGCACATAAAACCCTTTGACTTGGGCAGGGAGAAGCCAGCGCCACCCTTACAAACTCCGGGCTTCCCCAGGAAGCGGCCCACCCTGCCCGACGGTCAGATGGGGCCAGGTGGGCGCAGGTCTCTCTGAGCCTGGGTGTCATCCTGGTCCCAAGCCACAGTGGCTGGAGGAGTGGGGTGCAGGCAAAGATGGGTGCCGGTCCCCTAGAACAAGAGGCTGAGAAAGTGAAGGACACCCTGACACAGTACAGGACTCCAGCAAGGATGGCATTGTCCCTGTGTCCAATTCTGAGGGACCCTCAGCTGCCCCTGCCATGGAGAGGAGGGGTACCCAGGAGGATGGGGGAGGCCCGTGCTGGGGACCCCGCAGAGCTGAGGCGGGGCCAGCCCAGATGACACCTCCATGGGCGAGAGCGCAGGAAGGGGCAGACCTCGGGGCACAGGCTGACCTTCTCCCCCAAATTGGTCTATAAATTGAACAGTGTAAAAAATATCCAAATGAGAGTACTGAAGAAATTTAAGCTAAGATACTATAAAGCTATACTAATTAAAGCAAAGTGGTACTGTTATAAAAAAATGTAAATTAATCAATGAAGCAGCCCCCAACCAGATACATAAATGTGGGAATTTAGTTCCTGATAAGTGCGGTATTTCAAAGCAGAAATGTTTGAGATTGTTGTCCAAATAAATATTACTGGAACATATGGTTACCCCTAAGGCAAAAATACAACATGTAAAAGTAACTTCCCAAAATTAAAGAGTTTAAAAATATGAGAATACTAGAAGGAAATAACTGGAGGGAGCACATTTCGTATTTATAATGTTTATATTATGATACGCTTTATATGTTTCTGTGATGTAGCATAGTCGTGCATTGTGAGAGGCAGTGTGAGTATAGGAATAGAGCAGACAGGAGCATAGGAAGAGCGCCAACTGCATTTTAGGGTGAGGAAGAGCTTCCTAAAAAGGCATGCTATTCAGAAGCCATAGATGAAAACAAGTAACACTTGGCTCTATAAAAATATCAGTTTCTAGGTAGCCAACCAAAAGATAAAAATGACACACAGGGAGAAATATTTGCAACATCTCTAATAAAGAGTTATGCATACTAGACAAAGGCTTTTGTTTTTTTTTGTTGTTTTTTTAAAGATTTTTATTGGGGAATTGGGGGGGATGGGAACAGTGCTGGGGAATTGGGGGAAGGGGAACAGACAAGTTGCTGTCGTTTTTGTTCTTCAGTCTAGTTGTGGAGGACGTTGCTTCACTGGCCCAAGTGGGCATCATTGCGCTCTTCCCGGGCGAGGCAGATCAGTCGCCGGCTTCTGGACGGCCGCTCACTGCGGCTGCTGGCCGCTCACGCTGGCTGCTGGCTACACACGGTAGCCCATGGCAACCCACTGCCACAGGGGCTGCAGCCTCTGCCGTCGCCGGCAACTCACAGCAGCCCAGCTCCAGGTTGAGCTGTTGTTCAGCATCTTAGCTGTGGAGGGCAGTGTCACTGGCCCTCATATGTGGGATCCGAACCGGGGCCCTCTGGCGTCCCAAGCCAGTTCTTAACCATCGCGCCACTCGGCCGGCCCTAGACAAAGGCTTTTGAATTAAGAAAACTCCTTATAGCCCCACTGAATGATGGAAGGAAATATCAGTAGGCCGTCAACTCCTAAAAGATGCCAGTGACCGACTACATGAAACCACTTGTAACCTCATTACCAAGAGAGAAAGTGGCAGCGTTTGGGAATTCAGAGGAGAGAGAGGCCTGGGTTTGAACCCCGGCAGGTCGGGGGGCCCTGCCCTCAGCCCCTGGAGGGCTCATCCTTAGTTTGTGCCTTTGGACAGTGGCCTAAACGTTTAGCACCATTTTCCCACATGTGTGATCAGGTTAATCACTGGGTACCTACTTCGCAGTTCATTCTCAGAGGATAAATGCGTCGCTGGTTATGAAGTACACAGATGAGTAACTGACAGAGTGTGCTCTGTGTAAGTCTCGGCTAGTCATGATCTGTGTCTGTAAGTTAACATCACATTGACTTTTTTTTTGACACAAGTTAAAAAGATAAGCGTGCACGGTGTGCCTGGGGATGTGGTGGTGAAAACTGTCCAGTATTTTTAGACGGTGTTTCGGAAGTACGTCTCAGAATGAAAAACAGGAATATTTTGCTGACAGAAGAGAAAGCCGGAGCGGGGACATGACCAGTGTCTTCAAATAAAAGGTCTGGTGGGTCGAGGAGGAGGGGTTGAACCTGTTCCCGGTGGCCCTGGGACCCACCCGTGGGGGAGAAATAGAGGAAGCTGAGACTTTGGCTCTGTAGAAGGAAGAATCCATTCAGACAGAATGGCCCAAAGGTGGTGTGGATGGTCTGGGTAGGGAGTGGGCTTCCCATCACAGGAGGAATGCAAGCAGAGGTGGGGTGACTGCTTCTCAGGGATGCTATTAAGGATTCTACCGGGTGCTCCCCCTGCTACTTCCAGATTTGCCTACCCCCAGCCAGGAAGGGCCCGTCACACTCTCCCAGGCCCCCCACCCCCAGTGCTCTGTCTGCTGACCCCACCAACATGTGAACCCCCTCACGTAGGATAGCCGCGGCGGGCACAGTGCCAGGGCCCATGGCACTTTAGGGGCTCGTGAAAATGGAATTTCTTTTATAAGCAGAAGAAAAAAAATGAACCTTTAGATCAAAGTAAATGTTTTAATATATTTGCCTTTATATCAATGCAGTTGTAAAATGTCATTTTTAATATTTTCTATGGAGGAAGGGCCCATGAAGGTGCAAATGCCGCGGGCTGTCATACAGCCTGAGTTGGTCACTGGGACTCACACCCCTCTGTCCCTTGTGTGGCTGGACCCACCTCGAAGGTGACCTCACTGTACTCTCCACATTACTGGGGGGGTGGGGGGGGCAGGGGAGCGGAGCGGAGCCGGCATCCTTCTGTGGGTTTTCCATTTCCAGGGATTAGGGCTCTGAAGGAAAGCGTCTTTGGGGCAGTTTCAATACAAACACCAGGAAGCATTTAAAAATAGCACTTTCAAATAAAAACTCCTAGACCAGGGGTTTTAAGTGTTAAGCTCATTTGGATAGTTGCAAAATCAAAACCTGCAGTGGCATGCAGATTTGGCGCCTGCAGCCTGTGGTGCCACAGAGGCTGTGGTGGGAGCCGAGCCCTGCTGAGTGCATGGTCACCACCGGGGCTGGGCTTGGGGACAGGCCTGCGTCCCCCGGAAGCCCCTCCTGTCGGCTGTGGAACCGCACACCCATGTCAGTGTTCTCCCGTAGCTACACCTGCCCAAACAGCCATTCGTGGCTGTGAAAATTGTTGGACTCCTTAGCAACACACAGGTCACCATTTATAAAGAGCGAAGTGGTCCCTGGGGTGAGTTGGACTGTGTTAAGGGGTCCCCTCACCCCCCCCAGGATGAGGCTGGCAGAGCTCAGCCTGTGGGGCCCCTCCCGACCCCCAAGCCCCTGCCCCATCACTGGCTCACCGAGGGCCTGAGTGAGCTCCGGTCTCCAGGGGCAGGGTCGGCTGGCACTGCCGGGACCAGCCATGGTTACACTTGCAGGAATGTTTTGAGCAATTATGTTAATTTCTTAAAGCTTCTTAATTTTTTTGAGCACATTGTACTCTTATCTGTGCCTTTGAGGTTATTTGTATCTCGTGTCTTAGGGTGGACATACCGTCTGTGCCTCAGCCCATCACTTCTTGACTCCGGTTTGGCTCAGCCGTCTCCAGCTAAGGTCGGGGGGTTCACGCCATGGAAGCTGGCGCCTGCGAGAGAGGGACAGGGACAGTGCTGCACATTAAACTTACAAGCGTGTTGTGTCTGCAGCCATCACACTGCGAACAGCACAAAACACGGAGGGACTTGCTTCCAGTGTTTAAAGACGGCTGCTCCGTTCAAGAAAGAAGTCCCTCGTGTCATGGCCACACAAGGGAAGTTCCCCTGTAGGCTCACTCTTCTCTGACGTGTTAAAATAAATGAGAATATTCCCCGACACTGAGGTCAGAACAGCCACAGGTTGGCTACGGATCCGAGAGTTCAGCAAAAGTCAGCAAAAACTTTCTGTGAGAATCAACCATCTACGTGGAATTAAAGAACATTTGTACGTTTTATTATTTGAAAATTGTATCACTAATATTTAAAAATACGTTATGATTTTGTAGGGTGTCAGATGGTCACATGTCTTGTTAGGGAGACCACTTCATGGATGGGGTAGAGGCCTGATCACCGCACTGTACACCTGAAGCTGCGTTGAATAATATTGTATGTCAACTCTAATTGAATACATATATAGTCACGGGACGTGGAGTAGAGTGTGGGAATGGAGTCAAGGGAATTGTAATAGATAAGCATGATATCGGGGGTGGGAGGGCAGTGGATGGGG